CAAAATAGGAGACTAACACCCAAGAGTGGCCGAGATTGGTACCAGGAGTTTTGCCCCATGGCTTGGAGGCCAGCCACACATTCTAGGGGAAAAGGGGGTGAGCTCTAGAGTGAGTCTGACACCGGCTGGAGTGACCCAGGAGTTTAATGTACTTTGAACTTCATTATGCCATGAAAATGCCTTCTGTACCCTGGGGGCATCCACAAAAGAGTTGCTTGAATGAAAGGAAGCAAGTACAGTTCTGACACTTCCACGGAGAGGCGAGTCGACACGAGAAGTGATTCTCCTCACTCTGGACTCCATGGAGATGGGAGAGTATGATCTCCAATGTCAGTGCTGAGGCAGCAGCTCTCGACACCAGTGTGGGGGGCAGAGCAGCGAAGACCCGACACCTGGGCTGGAAGGGTTAGCACTAAAAAGAAGGAATCAAACAGCTGCTGGATTGTCTCAAACTTAATGCCAAGTTAGGGAGCCTCATGCTGACAGAGGAGATCAGCTGATGAAGGAATGATGCCTTCAATGGCCAGTCCCTGGAAAAAAAAAAAAAGAAAACCCCAAGGAAAGTGAAAGGAAATTCAAACAAAAGCCAGGTGCCAGAGATTGAAGGCAGCTGCTATTCAGAGCACTGGTTTGAGAGCGGATGCAAGTCAGGAGAGCTCTGGCTCTCTCTCCCTCTCCACAGGGTTTTCATCTACAGAAAGTTTCTTCTCAGTCAGAAGGTTCCTGAGAGTCCTAGCCTCTATCCCCAGTCCATAAGTTCCAGAGAGAAGAGACATTTTCCTCCTTTTCTGACAGAAAGTCTTGAGGAGGTTCTGAATGGCAGGATCAAGGACAGACGCTCCACTGGAACCAAACACCAGAGTGGCCGAGCTCAGTCAGGTGAAGCTCGGTAGGCCCTGAAGGAAGCAGGAGGCCATGACTTAGCAGTTTCTGAAGAGAAAAGCCTGGCGTGTTTACAGGATAAAGGAAGACAGGCCTCTGGGCAAAGTTCTTCCTGGCCTTGGGTCTCCAGACCTTCTAAGAGGGGTGTCACTTTCCACACCTCAGTTCTGCTATTTTATTTTTCACTGGGGCGCACACTAGGGAAATAATAAGAGGGTACTGGAGTGTAATACAGGCGTTCACTCTGCTGATACTGAGACAACTGTGTGAGGAAAATATATCCTTCCAAAGTTTCTCAGACTCAGTGTTCAAAAGCAGGTAGCTGGAGTTCATCTCTGCGACTTTCCAGGAAAACTAATCAGATGAGGAAAAAATAAGAGCTAGAAATATTAAGTGCCTTATTTAGGATGACACGGCTAATTGATGGAGGATTCCGACTAGACTGTCTAATCCAGCTCGGGTCTGTTGAATCCAGGACATCAACCATATGTGTGAAAATTGAAGCATTCGCAAATTGTTCCTCTAAACTGCTTGATGCTGGAATACAGGAGGCCAGTGTTTCCCTCACTCCTGGGGGGGGGGGGGGCGGTGCACATACAGACTCCTTCCTCTGTGGGTCTGTACACATCCACTCCACGTGGAGGGGCCTTCAAATATAGAACGTGCCTCTCTGCATTCCCTCCCTCTCTGCTCTTTTAAAAAATGTCCCTTTAAAAATTGCCCACTCACCATCTGGGAGGTAGATTTACCGAAGCACAGTGAATGTGGAGGCAGAGATTGTTCTAGAGACTATTCCAAATGGCACTGGCACCTATATTTATGAAATCTGTCAAGAGCAGGTTAGAGTGGCTTAAAAAAAAAAAAAAAGAATTCCCACTGTAGTGACACCACAGCGTTGCAGGCGCCTGGTTTCAGCCAATGACAAGGGGGTGGGGGCATCCAGGCACATCTAAACAAAATGCTGCCTGCAAAGTTTAGGATTCTATCTGTGCTTCCATGAACAGCTGGAACGCAGTCACAAAGGTGCTTCCTGGATGTGTGTTGTCTGCCCCTGGAAGGGTCAGGCTTAACCACGGATTCCCCTGGCCCTAAGCTGTTTCTTTTGAGGGAACTAAACCGAAACAGATGCCATTCAATTCCAAACCTATAGCTCCAACCATGTCACTACACATGAAATATTGTTCATTCAGAGGCAGGATGTAGCAAGAGAAATTTATAATCTTAGAGTGTTTGCTCTCCAGTCAATAACACAGAAGCCTTGAATAAAAACCTTCCCATTACTTCCCACCATCATATATCTCACTTATAGCCTATAAAACAGTGGTCAGGGGGAGATTTATCCCCTGGACATCGTATTAGAGAAGCTCTCCACAATAAGCCTCCTCCATTCTGTGATTATTTTTTAAATATGTTACTCATTCTCGATATTAATTTTTATTTAATCTCTTCTAGCATTAGGAGAGTAGTACTTTTGCATGGGCTCAAAAACCAGTCCCCAGAACTTCCTCTTGGACGCCTCTTTGAGGCTGGAAATGTACTGCAGGGCAGCTGAAGTGACTTAATTCTAGACGGCAAAGAGCTGGCCTCACGTTAATTTCATTAGCCTCAAATTCCTGGATTTGTGAGACCTCTGGGTGTGATCCTGTCTTCTGCTAACTAATTCAGTATACCCATGTGTGTGTGTGGGGGGGTCTCGCTGAGCCCCCCCTTCAGTCAGCAGGTATACAAGAATCCCAGCCAGAGACACCCAACATCCGAGCAGTCAGCCTTGCTCCGGTCTTATCTTCAAAGAGGAACTTTATTCCAGGCAAACAGCAGCCTCCGTGCTATTATTACTTGCTCCTTACTCCCTCCTGCCCCCCAGCGTCGACAAAACCCCCACCCATTTAGGTCATGGAGTTTTCCTTCCAACCTTGAAGCCTGGCTCCCAGGAAGTTCTCATGAATATTTTTAAAAGATTTAAAAAAAAAAAAACATAGACTAGGACTGGCATGGTACCCGGGGCAATCCACAGGGAGCACAGAAAAGCAAATCTCCAAGGAGCTCAACTCAATCAGAGAGAGGAGTTTCCTGTATGTAGGACACTCTTAATTGGGCTGAACTCTGCCACCTCAGACACCTTTCCCTGCATCCTTCCCCTCCTGACACAGACTCCGCCTTGGATGCAGTGCTTTGGTCCCCGCTATCCTTTTCATCCACGGTGTAAGTTTAAAGAAGCTGGGAAACTGGGGGCAGACCTGGATGTCCTAGCTTCTAAGACCTGTGCAAAACCGGTGGTGGGGGTACATGTATAGCGCTCCATTCTCAGACTGAGGCCACGCTTGGCCAGGATGCCCACCACAGTGCCCTATCCAGAAACTGCAGCCTAAGCTACAAGTGAAAGCCCTTCCTGCCCCCAGTCTCTTCTCCAGAAAAGCAGGTGAAGGGGGCGGGGGCTCTTTTCTTCAGCCTTTCCCTCCAGCGGCAGCAGCTGGAGACAATTTGCAAATTAGAGGAAAATGCAAGTGTTGTTTCCCAATGATGCTGGTCTCAGCCCCCTGTTCCCACCTTCTCACCCAGGGCGCTGGAGGAACCAGAAGGCCCCATCCTCTCTCGCAAGGATCCAAACTCCCCCAAAGCAGGAACCGGCTCCCCCGGAAGCCCTCAGCACACAGGGACTTGGCCTGGGTACTTCCCACCCCCCCTTCCCATCTACAGTACCTGGGCTCCCAGTGGAGACAGTGAATTCATTCATTAAGGTGCACCCCCCCCCCACCAGCGCTCCTTCCACGCACAGCGATCTGAGAAAGGCTGTGAGTGGCCTCCTGGGTATCTGGAGGGCTCTGATCTCCCTGGGCTCCTGCCTCAGTGGCCGGGTTTGGGCCGGGACAGAAAGGAAGGGGGCGGGGACGGTGAGCCGCCCACAGCATCCCGAGCCTCTCTGGTGGGCTACCCCGGGCAAAGGTTGCCCCATGCCCTGAGGGCTTCGCAGCCAGGTGCTCTGAGGGTTGAGCCCCCCCCCCCAACCCCCAACCCCCACGCAGGCTGCAGCCTCGCCCTCGCCCCCACCGCCCCCGTTCTCCGGGCCCAAACACAAACTTCACACTCCTGGGCGAGGACGGGGGAGCCCCAGGAATCTCACTAAGTCCCGTCCAGAAACCCACCCTCAGGGAAGGCGCTGGGCACGGGGCCGAGTCTGGGAGCCCGGGAGCTTCAGGGCGCTGGAGGCTGCGGGGACACGGGGAGGTAGCAAGGATGGTCGCGGTCCGGGTACCCCGGGCAGGGAGGGGCACCACGAGAGGACCATCCCGAGAACTTAGGGGCACGGAGAGCGAGCGAGGAGGCCGAAGTGGAAAGGAAGAGCCCCCAAAAGGAGAAAAGATAGAGCAAGAAGAAGGGGAAAGGCAGGGAACCGAGAAGCAGAGGCCAAGTGGATCCTCGCAACCCTCCCCCAGATCCCCCATCCTGGCCGCGGGCGGTAACCCATTCCCGGCGATGCAGTGGCCGAGGCGGAGGCGCGGGGCGGGCAGCGAGCACTGCGGTAGAACCGCGCGGGCCCGCCGCGGGCGCCACGAACCCCGCGGAGCGCGGGGGCCTCGCTCCGGGGGCGCCGTCCCGCGGGCCGGGGCGGGGGGCGGGCGCGGCGGAGCGGCGGCGGGGCGGGGGGCCCGGTTCGCAGCTGGAATGAGCTCATCTGCGCGCCCGGCTGCAAAGGCAGCTTAGACGGTGCCCGAGCCCGGCCGGGACGCCGCACCTGGGGGGAACCGGGGTCCGGAGGGGCGTCCCCGCAACTAGGCGGGCCACAGGTTCGGAAATGCAGCCCGGGAGCGGGGGCGGGCGGCTTGTCCCCCCGAGGGGCCCCCCGACCACCCCCACCCACCCCACCCCCGGCGCTGGTGCACCCGGGAGCGGAGATGCCCGGTTCCCTGGCGTCCTCCCGTCGTCGTTCCGCGTCCAGCACCCTAGGGGCGCTCGCCCGACCCCGCACTTCGAGGAGCCCGTTCGCGGAGCATCCTTCGCCCTCACGCCGCCCGGCTGGCATCGGCGCCGGGCCAGGGGGACGACACCTCCGGCGCGCCGGGCGCCGCGGGGGCCCGGACGGGAGGCGCGGACCCCCCCCCCCCCCCCCGCGCGCCTACCTGGAAGAGCCTCAGGATGTTGGCTACCATGATGGACACGGAGCTGCCCGAAGCCCCGATCACCCCCACCACTTTCTCGGGCTTGACGAACACGGGCGGCTCGCCGTTGGTGCAGCGCACGTCGGAGGTGTCCTTCTGGATGAGCGCCTGCACGAAAGTGAGCGACTGCTCGAGCGCGTAAGTGTCCCTGGAACAAGTGTCCAGGATCCGCGCGCCCAGCGTCACGTTGGGCAGCAGGTTGGGATCGCTGTTGATCTGGTCCAGCGCGTAGAGCATCGCCTCCAGCCTGTGGATCCCGTTCTCCCGCTTGATGTCGCCGCACGGCACTCCGCTGGGACCCTTGGCGTGCACGGGGAACAGCCCCCCGAGGGTGACGTCCCCCTCGATCCGGATCGAGTGCGGGGCGTACATCTCCTGGCCGCGCGCCGCCGCCGCCAGCGCGCACAGCAGCACCTCCAGCACGCAGCAGGGGAACTTCATCAAAGTCAGGGCGCGGAGCAGCTGCCCCAGCTGGACCATGCTGCCCCGGCGGCGGCGGCGGTGGGGGGGTGCCCGCGGCGTCCCGGGGGGCCGGCGGGCTGCGGGGGGCTGCCGGGGAGGGATGCGGAGGGCGGAGGGGGGGGCGTCCCGCGGCGCCGGGCGCTCTGGGGCTGGCGCGGCCGGCGCGCCGCGCGGGGTCCCCGGCTGGCGGCGGGCTGGTGGCTCGCGCGGCGCCGGCCGGGCACTGGGCTCGGGAGCCGATCGCTATCGCTTTAAATGGTCGCCGGCCCCGCCGCTCCGCCGCCCACCCCGGCGCCCGCCGCCCGCCCGCGCCCGCGCCCGCGCTCCCCACCCTGCGCGCCGCCCGCCCCGCCGCTTTGCATCATCACGCAGGGAGGGGCTGCGTGCGGAGGTGCGGGCGGTGGGCGGGGGATCGCCCGAGCGGGGGGGGGGGGGGGTCTCCGGGCACCCCCCCGGGGCCCCCGGCGCCGGCGCGGGGGCGTTCCAAGGGGGGACCGCCGGCTTCCTCCAGCCCCGGCTCCCGCGCACCCGCCTGCGGAGCGGGTGGTGGGATGCGCCGGCGGGAACCCGAGGCCCCGACCCCGCCGTCGGCCCCCGGAGCCCCCGAGGAGGGTGTCGTCCGGCGGGCAGGAGCCGGGGAAACCCCAGTCCCCGCCGCGATCCCGAGCGGGGTACCCGTTGGGCCCGACACCAACGCTCCGGAGCGCGCGCGAGCGCGGGATCCGCGGTTCCGAGGAGCCGGAGCCCGAGATCGAGCTGTCCCCGGAGCCCGGCGGAGACCGCGCCGGTACCGCGCCTCGGTCCCCGAGTCCCCGGGGCGTTCTGCAGGAAAGCCCCACGCTCGGCCGACCCCACTCCCCCTCGCCAGGAGGGCACCGTGGGGAACTCTGCAGAGCCGGAGAACTTTTTTTTCCCTCTGGCGCTGACAGGTGCAAGGCTCACGCCTCCCTGTTTGCTCTGATGCTTCTGGGCCGGTGACAGGTTTTCTTTCCAGCGCGAGAAACTGCAGCGAGAACGCGCCGGTGGGAGGAAGGCAGGGGCAAGGCAGGACCAGAGCCGCCCAGGCGAAGCTGCTTTTCTCCCTCTGGCTCAGACTGGGGCGAAATCGGGCTGCGATGCAGTCGCCTGGCAATCAGGAGGCTGTTTGGGGGCGGGGGGGGGGGGGGAGGCTTGTTTTTTCTTGGGTGGCCCTTCCTGCAGGGCCTGGCTAGATTTGGCTCACCAAAGCAACAAGTGGCCTCGTGGCCTCGATCCACTTGTCACCAGCGGGGATGGATGTTTCTGTTCTGGGGCGGGGTGGGGAGTTGGCGGGGGCGGGGGGGGGGGCGAGGGGCGGGGATGAGAATGAACTCCTGGACTTTGCCTCAGCTCTCAGAGGCTTTGCTTGGGCATGCAGAGCAATATCTACCTCATTCAGTGCTTAAGGACCACAACATTGTTCAAAAAACATAACAAAACCAACCAGCCAACCAACTTAGAAGATAAGTCATAAGCCTCCATCATCCTGTGGCACCTCTGATTCCTCCTGACTCTTCCACCCCTAATCATCATGGCGCACTGGGCCACTGACCCTTAACACTGGTGTTCTATTCAAGTCTGAGTCTTTTGGTGCTTTCAACAGTGGACAGTAGGATTTTGACCCCTTTTCTTTGTTGGGGCAGCTCCTCTATTTCTTTTCCTTTTTTTTTTTTTCCTTTTTGGGTCACACCCAGCAGTGCTCAGGGTTTCTCTTGGCTCTGCACTCAGGAATTACTCCTGGCGGTGCTGGAAGATCATACGGGATGCTGGAGATTGACCCCGGGTCGGCCCCCTGCAAGGCAAATGCCCTCCCCACTGTACTATCACTCCAGCCCTGCTCCTCCATTTCTTCCTGGGTACATTCCTCATCCTCACTGTCCTGCTCAGCTCTGGAGAGCACAGACCCTACTTCCTAGTCCTTGGCCTGCCAAGTCAGAACAGGAACTTCAGCTGGAGTGAAAGTCCAAGCATTGCAACGTAGGCATAATCCACAGCAGCCATGGAGGGTCAACCCTGGGAATTTCCGGGCGCACCTGGGTAGAGATACGGGCACCCTTCCCCATGGGCAATCTGTATGAGAGTAAGAAAAAGGAAGTCAGCCCTTCTCAAAGGACCTTATACTTATCCTTGAGAAAATTACTAGCCCATTCCAATAGTGTAAGAACCAGGCAATTTCCTGTCATCTCCAAGCAAACACTGCTAGAATTGACTCAGTAACCTCCCTTGTCTACACCCAAATTATTCATCAGTGTTCGGTCAGTGCCTTGGTCCTAAGTGTTGGCCATGAGAAAATTTTTGCTGTCTGGCCTTGTTCCTTCCTGCCAGTCCTCATTCTGTGGATGGCTGAGCCTGTAGCTATGCCAGGGGCTCCACATTCACTGAAATATCTGATCCCACAATTGGCATGCAAGCGAGACGACAAGGCAGGAAAGAAAAAAGAGAAAACAGATGAAAATATCAGGAATGCCTCTGACTTTTTTTTCAATTGGATAGGTTATTTATATTTATTCTGTTGTGTGAAGCTAAAAGGATTGCTTTCTAATTTACCTGTTTAACACAGCAGATCAAAGAGGGTGGCATTGTTGAAAGAGGTTTCCTGTTAAGATAGCATCTGAAGTTAAGGAAAGGAAAATGCAGTTCATAAAGCAAAAGAAAGGCATACTCAGAAATACAATGACTATCATCTTAGTCCCTGAATCCTTCTGTCTTTGGCAGATCACGTCTTCATTTAGTTTTAATTGAAGGTTATTAGTATATTGGTAGAAAAAACATCTGAATTGAGAAACAAGTAATTCACTTGCTTTACCCACAAGCCCGTGTTCTACTCTCACTTTTATTTTATCTACTACAGCTGATCAATAAGTGTTTCTTGGCTGACTGTCGAACGTGCTGCACTCCATGTTCAGTCTTTGCTCTGCTGTTTGTCCCCAGACATGTGGCAGCCTCAGGATCTTTCTGGATTGAAGTCACCTGTGTGCATGGCTATTTTCCTTGCCACATGGTAAGATCCTTGAGGGTAAAGTTGGGTATTGCTGACCTTATTCTGCTGAGCAATGCTAATAATGGGGTTTTGTGCGTAAGGAGCACTTATGTGTTGAATAAACTGGAACTGCTTTGCCATTATCTAGGACTTTTATTGTGACAGGGACTTGAACTTGAAGTGGAAGTACAGAGACCACTGCAGATAAACTGCTGACCTTTCAGTGAGTGTACAGTGTGTAGACTTCAAATGTCTAGAGTCTTCAAATTGAGTTCTGGAATCATTTGGTTTGCACACTATGCCATTGGCAAATCTCAAACTGGGGCAATCACTGCTCAGTGCCAGATTTAACTGGAGGAGAATCTTTTATTTTTTTTATTTTAATTTTATTTATTTATTTAGCTTTTTGGGTCACACCTGGCGATGCACAGGAGTTACTCCTGGCTCTGCATTCAGGAATTACTCCTGGCAGTACTCAGGGACCGTATGGGATGCTGGGAATCAAACCTGGGTCGGCCACGTGCAAGGCAAATGCCCTACCCACTGTGCTATCACTCCAGCCCCGAGAATTTACTTTTAATGAGGGGGAGAACTGCATGGGAAAATAAATGTTTGTGGACTTGATTTTGTTAAGTCACTAATCTGTCCTCAGCAACGATGAACAAAAATAGGAAAGTAAGGCTTCAGTCTGAATTTATATTTCTATTTAGACTTTTGCTTTCTTAATCTACCATTCTTATTTATTTATTTGCTGTTCTATCCGTTGTCTCCTGAAGAAAGTGTCTATACTCCAACTCCCTAAGGGAGAGTTTTTATTTTGTTTTTGTTTGTTTAGGAGTCGCCCCTGGTGGTGCTCAGGGTTCTTGTTTCTGGCTCTAAGCTCAGAGATCACTCTGGCAGGGCTTGGGGGACCATGTGTGGTTCTGAGCAGGGATCAAACCTCTTGCAAGGCCAACACTGTCCTATCACTCTGGCCCAGGAGAGACCAATCTGCAGCCTCTCCTACCCACTCTCACGCGTGAGCACACATTTCAGGCTGCAAGAACTGAGCTTTGTCTGCCATGCTGAGGCTGAGAAGTTCAGGACAGATCAAGGACCTGAGACCCAGCATATTAGAACCTAGAGACCTTTGACCTATACCTCTGACCACATGGCTACTGAGATAAAAGTCCAGCTTCTGACTGTAGAAATTCATTTAATTACTTCATCCAACCTGTAAGAGAAATATTAGTATTCTGTGCTTATTTCACACCAGAATTCATGAGAGAAAACATTCATCTGGCACTTAGTATGCCCTGACTGATGTGCTAACAATTGACGTGTAGATCAATTTCATCTGATAATAAATCGAAGGCGTTCATGCCCACTATATATACAGGGGGCTATTATCAACATCCCCTGTTGTCCTCAGATGAAGAAATGGAGATAAAGAATTCAGAGACTGTGGCACAGATGTGAAGCCAGAACTTAAACCACTGAAGTTGGTGCTTGTTCACTGCCACATAGAATATGGGGACAGAAGCAAAGCTCCCAGCCCTATGTAACTTCCGTCCAACTTCAATGGCTGGGTCTTCACTGCTCTCTGTCACCAGGCAGCGATCCATATAAGGAAGGTGTTCCAGAATCATGACTCCCACATAAAGCATGTCCAGTGAATAAAAGGTACTTGTTTGACTGACTCCTACCTTCTTCTCCTTCTCCTACTGAGTAAATGAGAAGGAAATTTTAACTTCAAGCAGGCTCTCATATAACTGACTTAAGTCTTTAAAGCATACGTCCTGTCACACACATGATCGTACATATAGCATCACTATTGGTTCGTGGTTCTTGTACGTGTTAGGTCCACAGGGCACAAAGCTGGTGATAATTCTAAAATAGTCTGCATCCCAATTTTGAAAATACAGTTGACATCGCTCAACTGTACCATACAGTGTTGGAAATGCTTCTCTGCTTCTGTCAGAAACGTCGTCCTATGTCATGCCTTGGTATAGCTCTCCAAGATGCTGTTCCCGCCGTGTTTACTTCCGCCCTCTACCCTGAAACTGCTGATAAAATACCTGCTAAAAGAGAGTTCAAGTTAGAACCTCACCTGATGTGAGCAAAGGCCTGTAAAACACTGTTTTTACATTATTATGTTTTACACTATTATGTGAGTGGACCCTCTCGCCCAACCAACCAAGGTCTGATTTGACTCACTAAGTATTACCTGAGTGTTTATATTTCACAAGGGCTCCATAATTATAATACTGGAATATGGCCATCCAATTAGTGCTGCCATCTTTCAATACAGTCA